GTGTGCCGCGCTCGCCCCCACCGACGCCCGCGCCGCCCGCCGCCGACGCCCCCACCCCGTCGGAGCCCTGAGTTCCGCCGGTTTCCGACGAGGTAGCCACCGTTCGCCGCCGGTTTTCTGAAGAAAACCGATTCAATTTTTTTAAAACCCTAGGTTTTTTTATATTTTAGATCAGTTTATTTTATTTTTTTTCGGTTCACTTATTTAGCGAGCGTTCGCTCGTTCGTTCGTTCTAACGGACGAGTTCACCGTTTAGTTTCAGTTAACGAACATTCGTTCGTTAAGCTGTTCGTCAGTTTTTCATTTTCTCGGATTTTCCGCGATTATTTTTTATCGCGGTTTCTGATCCAAATTTCGTTTTAGTATAACTTTTCGCTCGTTTATCGGAATGAGGCGATTCAAGCGCCTAGAGTTTCATTTCGAAACCCTCTTTCCGTTTAACCAACTCAAACAAGTTTATGCTTCTGTAAAATTTGACTTAATTCCAGATTAGTATTCGAAGCTTGTTTCTTTCGCCGTTTGAGTTTCATTGTTTCGTTCGATTTGTTTCTTTTTGCTAACCGGAGTTCGTAAGTTGAACTTTCTGGTTAGATCTCTTATTTGAGTTTTACCTGTGCATTAGATGAGTGCTTATTTGTATGCTTGTTTGTTTGCGATAGAGTACCCGGAGTGCACCGCTTGCTACTTCGAATCTCTAGGTTTCAGGGATCATCAGCAAGGCAAGTAACACTTTGATCATACCTCTTTACTACCCAGTTTTATTGCATTAGATCAATCATCAAACAATTGCATGGTTAGGATCTGAATAAATTGTGGGTTGGGAAGTAGATGAGGTAGTACCTATTGCCTGTTTTATTATCAAACCTTTGGGAGTTACTTCTACGTTTGCTTATGCCATGCTATGCTAGTAGATGTGGATTGGGTGAGTGTATCCATGACAGATGTGAGATTGTTATTTAATGGTTTACTTAAGGTGGCAACTTTAACACACATCTGGGTGGATTGAGGCACCTGGGTATTCCAGCGATTACCTGTTTTTCTTTATGGACCGCCACCCAGGCTCAAAGGGGTCATGAGATTATTCATACTGGAAACTTCCGTGTGCAGCCACAAGCTACTATGGGCTCTAGCATAGCTGATTAAGTCATGTGAACTCTTACAGTGGTAGACTAGCAGATGTAGGGGAAAGTAGGTGTAACGGTCTACCCGATCGTAAGGTGCTAGCGCTTCTGAAAGACTATGTCTCTGTCATCCATTTCTCAAACACCGTGTAGTGCGAGAATCCCAATGGAGGAGATCGAGTCTTGTGGGGAAAAGTGTGCAAACATCTGTAGAGTGTATAAACTAATCATGATTAGCCGTGTCCCCGGTTATGGACGTTTTGAGTATCTAGTACTTGGATTATCATGTGAATCTCATCATGTGACTTTAATTAATTTTGTTGGGTTTTAATGATGATGCTTAATTGGGATTGAGAGGGTGTCTACACTCTCAATGTTTAACAACCACCATGTTAGTTAAATAAAATTTATTCCTTTGCAGTAGGGAAAAGTTGGCTTTACGCAAAACTGTAACCATAGAGCTTTCCACCAGCCCTATATGCATGCAGTATAGCCCAGTTTTGTTCATTACTCTCTATGTGTTACATTGCCAGCATATTCCATGTGTTGACCCGTTTTCGGGCTGCAATGTTCATGTTGTAGATTTTTCAGACGATGATTAAGGTGCCTTAGGTCGTGGTTCTATACTCAGTGATGCCGTTGGAGTTGATGGACTCACTTATCTTCCAAGCCTTCCGCTGTTATCATTATTAGATGGCCTTAAGCCATATTATTTGTAATATGTTCTCTTTGGAGACATTCGATGTAATAAGTGTGTGGTTGCTACTCTGTTATAAATCCTTCAAGTAATGTGCGTGTCAGCATTACTGATCCAGGGATGATACTGAAGCACAGAGATCAGACTGTTTGAGGTCTGGTCGCTACAAGATGGTATCAGAGCACATGCTGATTGTAGGACACAACCACTAAGATAAAGCCCTAGATCACTACTCTCTTCTCATTTCTAACTCCTCATCTTTTCTACTCTTTTAGGGTGGCGGATGCAAGGAACAAGTTCTCGCAACCGGATGAAGATACACCCTTTGTACGCCACCTGAAGGAAGTCACTAAGTACCTGAACATCGGAGTACCAAGCTTCACCGGGACCTACAACGCCACTTTACCCGAGGAGGAGCGCTGGATGATCCAAGTTCAAGTTCCAGGAAGGACATTCGCGCCAGTCACTGAGCCTATAGAGTTTTCCTTTGATGCACCAACCTGGAGTCTAGGAAAGAGCATGGCAGCCCACATCACCATGGGACATATTAGAGAAGTTTACCACAATGAGCTTAAAGACACTATCTACCAGATCTGTGGGCACCGAGATGAGCAATGGGAGATGATCAACACTAGGAAGGATAGATCAATCGCAGCTTTTATCCAGGAGTTAAACCAGCACATTCGACGCTAGGAGAACCAGATGTGCGCAGGCAGGATAGATCTGAAGAAGGTGATGACAAGAATCACAGAACTGGAGGAAGAACTCAAGGCTACACATGAAGATTATGAGGAGGAAATCGAAGTATTAGTGGAGAAGAATAACGACCTGACTAAGAAGATCGGAATATTCATGGGAGACCCCACACCAGTAGAAGAAGACGAAGAACCCAAGGAGATTCGCCCAGAAGACTACATCATCATCGACGACACCGACTCTAACCTGAGCGATGATGACTTTGAAGACGAAGCTGGAGCAGATATCATGGAGTCTGCAACCGAGGAATATTTTTAGTAGACCACCATATCAGTAGTAGTATTCCACCATGTAAATAGAGTAGTCCGATGCACTTCTGCGATAGTTAGACCGATTGTATGACTTGATTGATGAAGTGATTTTGTTTGTGTTTGTCTCATGTGCATATTGGTAGTGCTTTCTCATTAGATCTCATTCTATTCTAATATCTCCCCTCTAAACCCATCAGCCTCCGAGACTTGACAATGGATTTGCTTTCCCACCGGAGCTCACTCAGTTGATCCAGCAGCAGAATACCCTGATGCAATTGCTAGTCCAGAATCAGAATCAAGGGAACAACAACAACCCACCACCACCACCTGTTGATCACTTAACCCGTTTCCTTAGACTGAATCCGCCAGTGTTCTCCAGTAGCACCGAGCCTATAGTAGCAGATGATTGGCTCCGCAAGATTGGAAGGGGGTTAACCACTATAGGATGTACTGACGCTGAGAAGGTGCGTTTTGCCGCACATTAGTTGGATGGACCAGCAGCATCATGGTGGGAGAATTACACTGTCACCTACCCTATAGCCACGGTGACATGGGACCAATTTCAGCAGGCTTTCCGTACTGCCCATATTTCAACAGGAGCTATGGCCATGAAGAAGCGTGAGTTTCGCAACTTGCGCCAAGGAGGACGGACAGTTGGCCAATATGTGGATGACTTCAGTAAGTTAGCACGTTATGCCCCGGATGAAGTTGCTACAGATGCAGCTAAGCAGGAGAAGTTTCTAGAAGGACTGAATGATGAGCTAAGAATGCAGTTGATGGTAGCAACTTTCAACAACTACCAGGAGTTGGTAGATTGTGTTCTTATGATTGAAGGGAAGCAGCAGCAGATTGAGAACCACAAGAGGAAGTATGGACAAGGGAAGCACAATTCAGGAGCTCAGCAGAAGCCATGTTTTACCCCGAAATCGGGAGGACATTTTCAGCATACCCATGGAGGAGGGAATTCGCATAATCATAACGGCCCCAAGAACGGTAATGGGAATGGGGGAAGCAATGGTCAGAACCATACCAACCCATCAACCCCAGCCAAGAGAGACCTGAGCCAAGTCACTTGTTATAAGTGTCAGAAGACTGGACATTATGCCAATGAATGTCCTGAAGCCCAGAATGGAAATGGCAATGGAAGCTCTGGGAAGAAGCCGAACCCTTTCAATAGGGGACAGGTGAACCACGTTAACGTGGAGGAGGTTGAAGCCCAGCTAGATGCAGTAATAGGTAAGTTTTTGGTTAAGTCATTTACTGCAATCGTTCTTTTTGATACTGGTGCATCGCATTCATACATCTCAAGGGGATTTGTGGATAAGTATAAACTGCCCACCAAGGTTCTTAGAAACCTATGTTAGTAAGCTCACCAGGAGCGGAGTATATGCCCAGTCGAGGATGTTTTCAAGTGCCATTTAGTATAGGTAGGCATGTGTTCCCCTTGGATTTAATCATTTTGGAATCACAAGGTCTGGATGTAATTCTGGGTATGGATTGGCTATCGATGTATGGAGGAAACATTGATTGCGCCAGTAAGTCGATTTTGCTTACCACCCCGGAAGGGAGAAGGATCAAGTATGTATCAAGACATGAGCCGAAGAGGACACAAGTAAATACCTTATCAGGAGTTGTGCAAGAGGAAGTACCAGTGGTGAAGGATTTCCCTGATGTATTTCCAGACGAGTTGCCGGGCATGCCACCGGATAAAGATATTGAGTTTTTGATTGAGCTTTTGCCAGGCACAGGGCCGATAGCTAAGAGACCGTACCGGATGCCTGCACGAGATTTGGAGGAAATTAAGAAGCAGATTAAGGATTTATTGGATAAAGGCTATATTCGCCCAAGTTCTTCACCTTGGGGATCACCAGTACTTCTAGTGGAGAAGAAGGATGGATCATTGAGGATGGTTGTTGATTATCGAGGATTGAATGAAGTAACCATTAAGAACAAGTAACCACTGCCGATGATCAATGATCTGTTTGACCAATTGCGAGGAGCTAAGGTATTTTCCAAGATCGATTTGCGATCAGGATACCATCAGTTGAAGATTAGAGAGCAGGATATACCTAAGACGGCTTTTACCACCAGGTACGGGCTATATGAGTACACCGTTATGTCATTTGGTCTGACTAACGCACCTGCTTATTTCATGAACATGATGAACAAGGTGTTTATGGAGTTTCTGGATAAGTTCGCCGTGGTGTTCATTGACGATATTTTGGTCTACTTGAAGAATGAAGAAGAACACAAGGAGCATTTGCGTTTGGTACTGGAGAAGCTCAAAGAACATCAGTTGTACGCCAAGTTCAGCAAATGTGAGTTTTGGTTGAAGGAAGTTGGATTCCTCTGACAGGTTATATCCGGAGAAGGAATAGCAGTAGATCCCACCAAGGTTGACACTGTGACAAATTGGGAAGCCCCAACAACAGTTGGAGAGATCCGGAGTTTTCTTGGACTCGCAGGATACTACTAGAGATTCATTGAAAATTTCTCGAAGATTGCAAAACCTATGACGGAGTTTTTGAAGAAGGATACCAAGTTCAAATGGACTGAAGAATGTGAGGCCAGTTTCCAGGAGTTGAAGAAACGTTTGGTTACATCGCCAGTGTTGATTCTGCCATATCAGCGCAAGGATTATGAGGTATATTGCGATGCTTCACGTCGAGGACTTGGAGCAGTGCTTATGCAGGAGGGAAGAGTTGTTTCATATGCCTCATGACAGCTTAAGCCCCATGAGTTGAATTATGCTACACACGACTTGGAGTTAGTAGCCGTAGTGCACGCATTGAAGACGTGGAGACATTTTCTCATCGGAAACCATTGTGAGGTGTACACGGATCACAAGAGTTTGAAGTACATCTTCACGCAGAAGGAGTTGAATCTCAGGCAAAGGAGATGGTTGGAGCTCATCAAGGATTATGATATGAGGTTGCATTATCATCCCGGAGAGGCTAACATAGTAGCTGACGCATTGAGTCGCAAGAGCCATGTCAACACACTAATGACCGGAGAGTTACCAAAGGAGTTAGCCGAGGATCTTCATGAGCTATGTTTGGAGATAGTTACGAGAGGCTATGTAGCAGCATTGGAGATTCAATCTACTTTGATGGATAAGATCAGAGAAGCTCAGAAGACTGACAAGGAGATTGCCACTATAAAGGAGAAGGTGAGCAAGGGAAAAGTTAAAGGATTTCATGAGGATGAACACGATACCTTATGGTTTGAGGACCGCGTTTATGTGCCTAATGATCCGGAGATTAGGAAGTTGATTTTGCAAGAGGCCCATGATTCGCCATACTCGATTCACCCAGGAAATACAAAGATGTATTTGGATTTGAAAGACACTTTCTGGTGGACCAGAATGAAGAAGGATATTGCGGAGTATGTAGCAGTTTGTGATGCATGTCAGAGAGTGAAGGTAGAGCATCAGAAGCCAGCAGGATTGCAGAGCATCAGAAGTGGGATAAGCTAGGCATGGATTTTATCACGGGATTACACATGACCCGTTCAGGCTATGACTTGATATGGGTTGTAGTCGATCGCTTGACGAAGGTAGCTCATTTCATCCCAGTGAAGACCACTTACACCAGTGCTAAGTTGTCAAAGATATACATGACCATGATCATATGTCTGCATGGAGTTCCGAGGAGCATTGTATCAGATAGAGGAACCCAGTTTACCTCAAAGTTCTGGAATCAGTTGCACGAAACCTTGGGTACCAGATTAGAGTTCATTACAACTTTTCATCCGCAGACAGATGGACAGACCGAGAGAGTCAATCAGATTTTAGAGGATATGCTGAGATCTTGTGCGCTAGATTATGGATCTAGTTGGGATGACAACTTGCCATATGCGGAGTTCTCTTACAACAACAGTTATCAATCCAGTTTAAAGATGGCCCCTTTTGAAGCTTTGTACGGAAGAAGGTGCAGAACACCATTGTCGTGGGATGAAGTTGGAGACCGCCAGTTGTTTGGACCAGATTTGATTAAGGAGTCTGAACAGAAGGTGAAGTTGATCCGAGATAGGCTCAAGGTAGCCCAGTCCAGGCAGAAGAGCTATGCATATTCTAAATGCAAGGAGACAATTTACAAAGCCGGAGATAGAGTTTATCTTCGTGTATCTCCATTTCGAGGAGTTAAGCGCTTTGGAGTTAAGGGAAAGTTAGCGCCACGTTTTGTGGGACCATACAAAGTTTTGGAACGCATGGGAGAAGTTGCTTATAAATTGGAATTGCTCGAGGGATTGTCAGGAGTTCACGATGTGTTCCACGTTTCCCAGTTCAATAAGTGCCATGCAGAGATGGCGGATATACCGCTGAGAGATACAGTGCCGCTGGAAGCGATTCAGTTGGATAGTGATTTAACCTATGAGGAGAAACCAGTCAAGATTCTCGAGTATGCCAGCCGAGTCACCCGCAGCAAGGTTATCAAGTTTTGCAAAGTTCAGTGGAGCCACCACACCGAGGATGAAGCCACCTGGGAGCGAGAAGATCTGCTGAAGGACCACCCTCACCTATTTTCTAGCCAACCTGAATCTCGAGGGCGAGATTCATCTTAAGGGGGGTAGGTTTGTAACATCCCAAATTTTCAATTTGGAATGTTATACATTAGATCATCTACATATCATATTTTATTGCTTTTGCCTGATCCAGAAATTCTACGCCACTCAAGGACCCACGGAGAGAGTTGGGGATTTCGTTATTTTCAGATTTGAGTTTTCTCAAATTTTGAAAATAGGATCATTTGATTTTATTTATTTTATCTTCAATTATTTCTATTATAAAAATATGAGAGAGGGAATAAAATGACTTTCCCAAAATGAAGAAATATTGAGGATTTAATAAAAAAAATCAAATAAGTTTTTATTTTGGAGTTTTGGCTAGTTCTTTTTGAATTTAGGAAAAATTGCACGTTTTTCAAAACTGCATTTTAGGGCCAAAAAATGTTCATCTCATTCTAAATATTTTACTTAGGCGGTGAAAATTTATTTTGGCATTTTTAGAATTTTATTTTATTTTTTAGAATTTTTCTTAGTTTCGGCGGAATTCGTTTTTTATTAAAGTACCGCGCGCCCGGCTGGGCCAAAGGCCCAGCCGAGCCAGGCCAGGCCCACGCCGCCGCCGCCTTCCCCGCGGGAGTCCGACTCGCCGCCGCCGCCGAGTCTGGCCGGGGCACCCTCCCGAGGCTGACCCCGACCCGATGCCCCCTTCCCCAAGCA